AAGAAGAAGAAGAAGAAGAAGAAGAAGAAGAAGAAGAAGAAGAAGAAGAAGAAGAAGAAGAAGAAGAAGAAGAAGAAGAAGAAGAAGAAGAAGAAGAAGAAGAAGAAGAAGAAGAAGAAGAAGCTTTAGCGCGCCCTGTCAATGTTAAATTATGTGACTAGGTCAAATCTTATAAGGTATAATAATTAATTGTAAGAATGTATTTCTTGTTTGAAACTACTTAACAACATAAATTCACGGACCTAAACTAATCTTGCGGTTTGAACTTTAAAAAATAGATAACTATCCGATGAACTAGGTTAGATCTACAGTGGCGGCTAGCTTTGTTCTAAGTTTACCTGTAAGGAAGGACCATCATTCCTATTTTTTTAATCTAAAATGTAAAACAAGTATTTAAATTTACAGCGTGTTATATTCAATTAATAGTTCGTGGTCAAGCTTTGGCTTATTCGATGTAAAAAATATCTAAATTCTTCAAACAGTATAATTTTCGGAACGTAACAATCTATAATGCCATAAAACACCGACAACCGGTCATGAGCGGTTGCCGAGAGCGAGAGCATGAAATCATTCCGGCTCCCGCGTAACAACTCAATCAACGCAACTTTTAGATAAAGTTTTTTTATTACAATACGTACTTAAAGCCCGGCCGTGATTCACAAAAAATACTTGTCGGACGTTGTGTAATTATGTTCTCAGAATTTGTTACAGAAAAGAAAACACTATAGGTAAAACAGAGATATTTTAAACGTGAAAATAAATCTAGCTAAAATAAGATAACATGTAGAATCACTTTTGTTAAGTATCGCAATATACTTTTCGACTGCAAGGTCATTTGTCGTGTCAAAGTTCAACAAGAGCGAGTAGAAATAAAGACTAGAATATATCTTAAAGTATTTGCCCAAACTGAAAGCTAATATTTCATTTTTTGTAGATTTAGTTATATTTGATATAACCACTGTTAACAATCAAACATATACTAGAACATTAATAATTAAGTAATTTTTTACTCGATAAGAATTTCAAAAAGTTAAAAGAAATTTAATCCGTAATATAGTAATTTATTTTGATTTAGATCTCGCGACCCGAGAACAATCTCCATTCGGTGCGTCCGGACCGGTTGTTGAACGCTAAAACAAAAACAAAAACACCGACAAGTCTATTACGCGGGGCTCTGATTATGCCAGACTCTACATTGCATCGGTTGGGCGTACGGTCGGCAAGAAAAGAAGACATCCGAGCTGTCATCCCGACGAGCGAAGTAGTGTGTTGTGTTGCACACCGTACACACTACACAACTTAATTTTACTCAATCGTAAGCGCGCGCGCGGCACGGACGCATGTCTTTTATGCATCGTTTCTCTGCTCCGTAAAACGAGGCAAAATTCAAAACAAAACATAGTGTAAATTGTAAATAAAAGTTGTTGAGTTCCAGTTGTATTGTGATGGTTGTTTTGTTGCATTGATACAGTGATGACTTAGTGTATTTTATCAGAACTTGTTAATAATAAAATAACTTTCCAATGAACACAACAAGCCATGTGACCACAGCGAGAGCGGACCAGTTAAAGTACGTAGATTTATCTTATTTTAAACTTGAACGTATCTTAAACAAAGTCCAAATAGATGTCGATATTCTCATAAACAAATTAGTTAACTTTACATGTAAAGTTAGTTGTAACTTAATTGTTACTTAACTTGATAATAATTTAAGTTATTATTAACTTGATTCTTGACATAATACGGTAAACAACTATTATATTATTATTACTAAAAACAAGCAAAACTATTAGTAAGAAACTACTTATTTAAAAGCTTACCAGCATCAATGGAGTTTAAATGTAACGAAATCTATAACAGTTAAATATTAATTTTCATTGTAGTTAAATACGAATTTCAATTTCTTAAAAGAAATGAAATAACAATATGTTGTTACAAAAGTGTATCGGCAATGAGAACTCAAGATAAACAACTGTTATAAAGTTTAATTAAATCATAATGCGATATTTTTTCTATCCACTCGACTGAGAATAACTCCAGTCGATTGGGTAAAACCTCGTATTATTGACGCCGTTGCTTTCCACTTTTGCCAAAACTATTAATTCGTAGTTTACTCTCATATTTAAAAAAAAAATTCTGTATCACATCCATCTTTTTAATTCCTGTCATACGGGGAAATATAGTTTATTAAAATGTAGAGCCACTCTTAAGAAGGTAAACTTTCTTTAAACTGATACTAATATAAGGACTCAAACTCCATGAAGGAAACATTAACTTGGAACAAATTTGTTTTCATATAAATATTCAATCTACTAACGCTTCAGAAGTATTTTAAGGCAAAAACACAAAAAAGGACAACGACTGAAGTGTTTTATCCAATTAATATTCTAGACAATTCTCAGCGTGTATTGCGAATTCCTATTTCTATTCATAGGATTGTGAATAGAAATGGTTACATTGATTAAGACGGTAACACAGTATTGTGTACGCTTTAACGTGTCCTTAACTGTTGCGAAGACGTGCTTAGAAATAATGAGACTGACTGTTAACTGTCTGACGTAAATATATCGCCGGCTATTACTTGAGACGTTAAATGCATCTTAAGATTACGATCGCTTAAAATTTCCACTTCTAATGAATTTTTACCGTGACTTATATGAAAAAAAGTTGTACAACTTCCATTAGTTTCTTTCAAAGATAGACGAAGTAATTGCTACATTGCAATATTGTAATAACCACTTAGGTTATCTTCAATAATTATAGCTTAGACATAAAACACGTTAAAATGTTGAATAATTGTTTTACAGTTAAAAATTAGCATTTGTTTTTTTTTATATATAGGTGACAAACGAACGAGCGGACACCTGAATTCGGTGAGATGGCGAAGTGACCATTGAAAAAGTTAAAGGAATCTATGCTTATTGTTAAAAGCACACAACGCATCTGCGGTTGGTGGTGTTGCCAATAGGCGTAGGATCACTTTTACAGCCAGTGCTCGTTTGCCCTTGTCTTAAAAAACACTATCATTTGAAAGGAAAGACTAGGTTCTTATGGCACGCATATTCGCAACCTTTCCACTATTCTAGTAGTTGCACGTTTTATCTATAAACTTAAGTCATAGACTCATAGGGGACAAATGATTAATTACATCGCGCTGCCCATAGTAATGTTGTTATTCTCACTTCCTAAGTACTTCTAGTGACGTAGAAACCATAAAGACGTTTATTGAATAACAAATAAAGTATACAAATACAAATTACGTCAAGATCTATTCTTACAAGTGTGAATTAAATTACGTTAAAATGTATTCAAACACTTAAAAAGATATAAAATGTTCATTATACAATTTAATAGCAAATAGTAGCCAAGAACAAAGCCTTGAGATCAGCAAAAATACAAAGCTACATAAACTAACACGGGCTGAATCAAATCAAGAACTATTTCGACATAGTTATTTTAAAATAGATGTACTCGAAACGGTTGTATTCCATCGTCTTTACTAAGAATTGTAACTCAAATTAGCATAATTTTCCGCTCTGTAATCGTTTTGCGAAACTCAAGTTTCGGTTGTCACAAAAAACTTTACACGGAAAAGTTTTTTTTTACTTCTTGTCTTTACAATTTGCTAGAGCTCTATTATGAGAACTTCGTAGAGATTAAAAAATATTTTTTTCAGGGGTGCCGCATTTAAAAATTGGTTCAATTGTTTTTTTTAATACGCTAAGAAATTATGAGCATATTTTATGGGGTGGCATAATAATGGCAATTCCTTTGTTAAATTTTTATGGGCAGTTTACGGAGGGTGCCGCCGAAATTGATCGTGATGCCTAAATCCGTGCATGTTTTGATTTCGGTCACGCGTTCGGGTTATTGCTTTCCTGTTTAGCACAATTGGCTTTTAAGAAATTGTGATATCACGATTATATAGTTACGAGTAAGTAATGAATATAACAACTTTGTACACGTAGTTATTTTAGAATTATATTACAATCTACACTCATACCCTAATTATTGCCCGACTGAGAAGTTGTTCCACTGACATGTTTTACGCGGGTATTTTTGTTTGTGAATTCCATATTCAATTAGATGCGTATTTATCCCGGTGTCTTATACCGCTGCAGTTAGGTTTTTTGAATATATTTATAACTAGTTCTTTTTCTTTAGTTTTTTTTTACTTTAAAGGGAATTTAAAATTAAAATATCAAGTTCAAATCATTAATTATTATACCCCATCTAAGAACTGCAGCAAAACATAACAAGTTTTGTAGAAAGAAACAAATATGCCACGATTTATTGAGTATATTTGAAAAATGTGTAAAGTTCAAAGTGTGACTTGCATCTGCGTGCCATGTGTGTCAAAATTTGTCCCCCCAAATCTGTTCTTGATGCATGACCGTTGTTTTTTTGTTACTTGGACTTGAATCATGTGTTTTGAAACCACTTCATATGTCATCAGATTTTTTCTTCTTCCAGTGCCACTTCTGTCTTGAAGATTGGCCGCTAACTTGGATCCTAAGTTAGTTAGTATCAGATTTAAAGGTATAGCAAAAAAGTAATATTTTCTGGCTGTGAGCAAAATTTTTGAATTTAAAAAGTGTAGAGTCGTATACAAAAGTTTTTGTTTTAATGGATTGAGATTATAAGCAAGCTGAAAAGATATTTAGGTGATTATTTGGAGTTGGAATGATTTACTTTAAGTGATAATGGTGGGTTAGGACTGATCGTGGTTCTTGATATGTAATAAAAAATCTTAAAATGATTAAAGTTTACACTTCTCAGCAATAAATCAATAACAATATATGTAACTTTTAAAGCCAAGTAATCCCGACTTTGTCGTGAGTAGTGATATAAAACAAAATGAAATTCAAAATAAATTTAATTGGCTCACACGACAAACATATTTTCTTTAAATCACATCATCACTTGAGTTTAAAAAAAACACAAGCACTCGAAGGAATCCGAGACACATGGGAAGTTTAAAATTCTTCGCAGTAACCCGCATAAGTCTTTTTTGTTGTTTAAAAATCTCGAAGTGTGGTCAATTGCTCGAGTGAGATACTCTGTACGTGAACTGAATAAAATATTGTGAAGTTGTCACAAAGTCGTATAGCTAATAATAGATTAAGTAGATTTATACGCAAAACGTATAAGTTTATTTGTTTGCTTGATCAACAGATCAACAGATTGTCAAGGATAATAGTTTACAATTGATTAAGGTTTATTTACTTACTAACTGTCGCCCGCGAAATTAAAAAAAAATAAAAATAATCCATCCATTAGTTAGATTCGTCAAATTACCAAGTGAATTTTTGTACAGATTTTAACGTACTTTAAAGTAGTATTTTTAATTAACTTCGTCTTGAGGAATTTTAAGTATTCACGAGTATAAAAAAATGGTAATACATTATCGACTAATATTCTTTGATTTCTTTTAAGTGAAAAATTTAAATGATAATTTTATCACAATTAAAATGGTAATAGAAACTATCGTGTGGTTTGTTCAAAAGAATAAGAGTATTAAGACAATAAAATCTGGTGTCCAGTTCCGATGCACTGGTTCTCTGAAGTTAGGCGACATTCCACTGTCACGGCCAACGTATTTATGTCGCTCTATTATTACTCAGAAATGCAGAACGGCTTGCAGTATAACATTATATTTATTGCACAGCGTTGTAAGAGCAGTTAATTAAACTTTTGTTCTATTTTCAAATTTATTTATATTTGAAATTCGAAATGCTATTTTTGTAAACGAAAAAAGAAAGTTAACAAAAGAAATAAAACACGTCATGTCATAGATTAAATAAAAACTGCACTTTTTTTTGAAATCTATGTCGTGCAAAAAGTTTTTAATAATAATTATCAACGTTATTGCCGTAGGTATACTAGGAATAGCTGTAGTAGATAGTATTGAATTTCTTATACAGAAAGTAGATTACTAGGAAGTGTAATCAGTTGAAGAAACGTTGATAGATTCATCATAACGGGTGCACCTGAACATATCATTTGCAACTTACATAATCTCATGACTTTATACTTTAGAGTAAGTATGATAAAGTTCTGTGAATCAAATGTCTGCGTGTACTACGTTTAGTTTTTTATGTTTAATAGTAGCATATTTATTACTAATATTATAAATGCGAAAGTTTCGAAGTTTGGATGGATGTGATAAGGTATCCCCATAATGGCTCAACAGATCTTGCTAAAGCATCAACAAAATATTGTTAAAGGATTTTGGATATAAGTAACATAGTACAAGACTTTCAAATGATTAACCTAACCATTATGACCTATCTCTTAACAATAAAATAGTTCGATTAAGTTATTATTGATTATTCTAAACGTTTGATTTCGATTTACAACATTTTATTTATAGTCAAATTTAATCAACGACAATCTTTGCACGTTAGCGACAAAGAACAGTCCGTTTCACCCGTTTTTGGTTGACTAGTAAAGTAGTATTCACGGTCGATCTTCAGGAATCATCTTTTTTAAAGAATGAATGAATTGAATGATTCTGTCTTATATACTATTTGATGCGTATGGATTACAGTGGTATAGTTATGTAACACTTCAGTATGTAATTAGGTTGAATATTATCGTGGTGGAAGTAGGCTAGCTCTGGCTTGTAATGGCCGTGTTATCACTGCTGATAATGTTATCGCGATCACTTGTTTTCGTGTAATGAAAGCACCCCGAGGTTACGCAACATGATTAAATTGTCTGTAAATTAATCATTCATCAATTTTGATATATTACTATGGTATAATTAACTCGTGAAGCTGATTCAGTACGGTCAGTTAAATTCACATAGAATTAGTGTGTAGTTTTTAATTTACTTTAAATAATATAAAATGTTTTACTTAAAGATAACAAGTAGCGACGTATTGAAGAGCTTACGTAAAAATCTTTTTCGACACCAACTAGATTAAATCTTACTTTCTTACTAATATTATAAATGCGAATGTTTAGATGGATGGATATTATAAGGTATCACTAAAACGGCTCAACGGATCTCGATGAAATTTAGCATAGATATAAAGCATATTCTGGAAAAACACAAAAGCTAATTTTTATTTAATTCCGCGCAGTCGTAGAGACAGCCAGTCTCATATAAAAGTGTCTCTATTTTGAATTTAGACTCAGACTTTACTTATTTTCTACTATTGTTTCAATTACTAATAGTTGGTACTTCTTTCATGAATGTCTACATTTTCCGCCACGACAGTAGGTTAGTAGGTGTCGGTTCAGACAATTTTGTAACCATATATAATAATTTTATAGACAAATATTTATGAGTTCTTTTTTATCAGTTAATTACAAAACGTGGACGCAATCTCTTGAGTCGACCACCGTGTGATACCGTGACCTAATTGAATTAAAGCGAATCACCGGCTGACAGATAACAGACGCCGCCAACCGAAATAACGCTAAAGACGTCACGGCTAACAGATAAATGTATGTAGACCTGCTAAAATTATCCTCAGTTTCCACTTATAAAAAACTTACAGGTAACAAACTGACAGTTTGAATTTTTTGTAGATACGTTTCAGCAGTGGAAGAGCATCGTTAGATATTAAGGCATTCTGAGAAAAAAAAAACAATGATATGTGTGAAATTATTCAAACTTTCGTGAGACATTATACTAAACTGATATAAAAACGGCTAAACACTCACCACTCATCCGGATGAAGGGCCCCCGATGGGCTCGAAACTAGTCGGTGTCGCCACCGGAAGAATATACGTGAGTGTTTAGCCGTTTTTATATCCGTTTTGATATGTGTGAAATCAACCAACCCGTACAAGGCTAGCGTGGTTGACTAAAGCGTAGTCATCCCTAACTTAGGGTAGGCTCAAGGGCTCTAGGGTAGGTGAGCTAATTGATCTCCTTCGTCCAGATTTTTATTTTTATTTATAAATTGAGATAAAGGACTTCAAAAAATCGTCTACTTAAAAGCGATATTAAAAAAACCGCACAGAAAAGTCGTGCAAAGCAATATATTCTACCCGACACGGATAATATGGTAATTATTTGTACAAGCAATTCTCGCTTAACGACAGGCAATAAGTTAGCTGCGCAGTCGCATGTTTTGTTTGCGCTACTGGTTAGACCCGCTAAGGCATCGTCACGTCTCCTAAAACTAGTCGTGCTAATGCAATTTTTATCTCCTAACTCTAAGTGATAACAATTAGCAGTTTATCTGCATAGCGTTGGAACTTGCAGTTTGTAATGTAAGTAAAGAGTGACGTACAACCCTAATTGCCCAATTTTTCTTACGAAACTAACTATTGACGTGTGTTTATAGTACAAGGAAGATCTTTTATTATGGCGCTTTATTTCTCTGTCGTTTGTGATTCGGCAAATAGAGAATAATAAAAATATTCAGGAATTTACCAAGGACTTAACTTCTACCTTACGCTATTAAGTGTAGTTTGTTGCGCAAAAGTAAGCTAAATTGTTAGAGAAAAAGATTAGGTCTTTTATATAGGTTATTTTTTACATGTGTATATGAAAAGATATTATAAATGCGAATGTTTAAATGGAAGGATGGATGTTTGTTTGAAGGTATCTTCGGAATGGCTCAACGGATCTTCCTGTAATTTGGCATAGATGTAGAACATAATCTGGAAGAATACATAGACTGCCTATTAAGTTTTCTTTAATTCAGTGCAGACGGAGTCGCGGACGATAGCTAGTATTAAATATTATAGATATTGAATGTTTATTTTTTACGAGATGTCGACTACGTATAAGCAATTACTGACGCTTTTCACACTCGTCCGCTAACAGCTCGCCGGGCTGTAAAATTGTCACAGCGATGGCTCTCTCGTATTTCAATGTAACTCTATGTTGCCATGCCGACTATGTCTATTTTCAAAGTATTTCATTTTTAACTTATTTATTTTCGTGTCACGATTCCAACAGTTGAATCTTTTAGGTCCTTTTCTAACTTGGTCTAGTTTGTATAGTGGACCGCAATACTTTAAGTAAATTTGTTCTGTACATCTAAGGAAAGAGTTGCCAAGAGACAAACGTTCTTTTAGTAAAGATCATAAATTCTTGCGTAGTTGATTTAATTAATAGCTACAACATTTTTCTTGTAACTTTATCTTGTTCCTATTTAATAATTTCTCCTTAATTTAAAACTATAAGGTCTAATTTAGCTTAACACAGTGTTTTATTGTTATTGTAATGTAGCAGTAGAAATGCTCGTGCGAGTTGGACATCTTAAGTTGTCACTTGTTTTCTTTTACCATCCGTGACTCTCAACCGGCCGTCGACCCTTGTCACTCAGCAGGGTTGCCAACAATTACTTTAGAAGTAACTTTTTCTATTTTTCTATTGCTTTTGGAAATATTTCTGTTATATTTTTTCACTCTACTTCTTTATAGAGACTAAATAATCTACTATAATCTATACTAATATTATAAAGCGGAAGAGTTTGTTTGTTTAAAAGCGCTAAACTCAGGAACTACAAGTCCGATTTGAAAAATTATTTTTTTGTTCGATAGTCCATTTATAAAGGAAGGCTTTAGGCTATATAACATTACGCTGCGACCAATAGTTTTTTTTTAATTCCACGAGGACAGAGTCGCGGGCGACAGCTAGTTATAGAATATATTAATTTATGTCTTTTATAAGACAGTGGTAGAGTTATTGTTTAAAATGCAAATTAAATTATGCAATTTAAAATAAGTATCCAAATAAACATAACTTAAGTTAAAATATATTTAGAAATTGTAATATGAAGTGTTTTAAGTGCCTACATCATCTAATTAGTACAGAAATTAACTAAACTAGTTTTAGTTAATTTCTGTACACTTATTAAAAGATCAATGATGATTAAATAAATACCATAAAGAAAAAGTGCTGATTTTTGCACACAAAGATAACAATTTTTTTTGTGTTGTCGTAAAAAATTTAAATATTTAAACTTTTCGAACTAGCTTCCCTATTAGAAGGTGTAAGCTGGTAGCCGATAGCGAGTGGACGTGAGATGATTCTGTTTGTTTACTGAGCGGGATGGAAGTTCCGAGAAGGGGAACAGAGCCCGGATTACCTACTTATCGTACCCGCGACACTATCGTATGTGTTTGCATGAAGAATTCTGTACTTAAAACAAGTTAATTCATTGCCTATCAAAATTAAGATGATTGAAAAATTGAATGATTTAAGACGACTTTGTTCTTATAAGAAAGACTACGAAGTGTAACATACTTTAGTATGTAGTAGTAGCTTCAGCTACAATTAGAATACGAGAGAAATTGCAACATTAATGTTTGTACTGGTTACAATTCTAAGAATGACTGAAGAGATTCATTCAAACACTTTTAAATAGTCTAATTATAAAATTAAAAGGCAATGATTTCTATGAAAAGTGTAGATCTTTTACCAAATATATTTTTTTGTCAGCCATAGAGTAAATATAATATTTTTTTAATTTGATTCCCATATTGAGCTGTAATAAATATTGTGCTATACATGTTATTTTATTACACTTTGTTCCAGGTGATGTGGGCTGTAGCCACGCTGCTCGCGGTTTACACGCTGCGGGCTACGGCCATCTCTTGCACGGAGGCGCGAACACGCTGCGCATACCGTACGGGCTGTGGCTTCGCTCTCAATAACTACATGTACCTGTGCGGAGACGTGCTCTCGGAACCGACCAGTGTTTGCCCCAAACCCTGCGAGCACGCTCTCATCGCTCTAACAACAGCTGAAGAGGGCAAGGAGCTTATGAACGTAAGATTTCAAAACACTATTTTATAATCTAAGACCTTAACCCAAATAGGGTTGGCGCACCAGCTTTCATCCTCCATACCGATCTATCTTTCGTTATCTTCATCCCTCACTCGACGTTAAAAACTCTATTAACAAAATCTAACTACGATACTCAGAAGAATAGGAATCTAATGAAACTAATCACAATTAATTCTGTCGTTTAGGGCATAGGCAGGCGGTCGTAATTAAACTTATGCACCGAACAAAAAGGCAAACATAACAACATATCGAAGCGTTAATAGCCTAATGGTTAAGGGTACCAATTTCCGATCACGATGCCGGTGGTTCTTATCCCGCCGTTCGACTATTGTAGCACGTCCTAGTACAAGCGAAGAGCTTAGTTGGAATGGTACAAGAAATATTAGTAAATTAACAAAAATCTACTAATCTATATATATAAAAGAAAGTCGTGTTAGTTACACTATTTATAACTCAAGAACGGATTTACCGATATGACTGAAAATTGGTGAGGAGAGGTAGCTTAGAGCCAGGAGACGGAAATAGGATACTATTTATCCATTTTTTGGAATTTATGCCTTGAAGGGCTGCTTTTTATTTAACTTATCTATATATTAAGGTTTTTTATATATATCCACGAGGACGGAGTCGCGGGCGACAGCTAGTATTTTATAAAAACAAAATAAAAAAATATGCGGTAAATCTGTCAGACAGTCTATGCGTACAAAACAAAGGTAATATAATTATATTTAACATATTCATATGATTTCTGCGAACAAATTCGACTAAAAGCAAAGCAAACATAAAAATGATATAAAAGTTCAATAAGATCATGTTATCAGAGTCAAGGCTGTCTTGTTGCTGATGTTGTAATCAATGTGAATTTAAATTCATACCATCATATTCCCACAAGCTAGTACAATGAAAGGTCACTTGTCATAATAAATTTTCACGACCAGTTGTTTATAGGCGCATCCTTTTCAATTGACATGTCCAGTTCTATTGGAGCTTTTTTGTCAACGTTTTCACGTACTAGTGTATACAATATGAGGTGTCGCGATACGATGGTGTGTTGCGGTACGCAGACGCTCAGTAATAAAATCTAATTTAGACGTCAGATTTGTCGGATGCAACGCCATCAAGGGTCTCGGTTGATGACCCCGTAAACTGTCCCTCGTATACAATGCACTCGAGATGTGCCCATATAGTTAATGCGACTAAACTCTTTAATTTGATAAATTGAAACTGATAGGTCGTTCACGTATTGACTACTACTGTAAGCTCCCAAGGCTTGGTTAATACATATTTTTATCTTCGTTAACTATAAAAATAGTGTTTTTACGGCAGTGGAAACTCGCGGTGTATTTGTAATAATTGCAGTTGAATCAACAAAAACAAATGAATGTACAATACGGTATCAGACCCCCCTTGTAGTATTGCTGCAGCTGTTTCCAAATTTGGTATCCATGAGACTTATTATAACCTGTCTTTGCACCTTTTATGTACTAGTTGATTGTACGTAGAAAAACCAGTAATCACTTTACACCCTATCTTACCTACATATAATCTTTATTCAGTAAATGCTTTTTTATAAAACAATATATATTAACTGTCTTTGGTATGAAATGTAGCCAATAATTCCAAATATTTACTTATATTAAAGTCGTTAAAAAGATATAAAGTTTATATTTACTATCCACATTTATGTTAAAAGTAGCTGTCGTCCGCGAATACGTCTGCGCGGAATTAAAACAATACAAATTTCAGTTAGACCCATACAAACGTTCTGGATACTCAAACAAACATCCATCCATCCACCCATACATTGGCATTTATAATATCATCAACAGACAGACAATCAGACAGTCACAATCACGATTGTAAATAAAAGGAATTGAACTGTTATTTTCTGTTAAAAATAAAAAAAACCTCAAAAAGCAACAGAAGTATTAACAAATTCAATCAAGTTTTGTAATGTCGCAATACAATTCTTGAGATACTAAGTTTTGGGAGTGGTCAAACGTCTAATTATGCTGTTGTAACGGTGTCATTATTGTGGCCGGGTCCACGGTCGGCCGCTCTGTGTCTCGGTGTAACGAAAGGCCCGTAATTCAGCCTTGAGGTTTGACGTCTTGATCGGGACCCACCGCAGCGCTCACCCGAGCAGGTGTCGCGGTTTCCACAAAAAATACGTAAGAGACAAGCTCTGAACGTTCTGCCCTCTTTATTTTCTTATCGATCGAGACCTAGACATTATACCAGTCTACAGTAAATTGCCTTTTTAAACTGCTTGCACAGATTTTGCTCAAGTATACCTTCGGTACTATGTTTTTGTATATATTTCATAAGTTACTAGTAACTTGACTTAGCTTAGGTTGATCGCTGATAGAATCTCCTCTTATTGACACAATAAAATCTACAAAAGTCGTAATATTTATGTAAGTAAAGTTAACAGACATTATTCAAAAAATTAACAATTTTTCAACCACTCACCAATTGGATTATTTAGTCAAACTAAAGTTGTTCGAATTAACGTATATAAAATTGGTGAACTTAATTCCATAGATATCCTAACGTGATTTTATTATACATAATTTGTTTTGATAGCGGCCGGAATGTTTCTGGAGCCGTAAAATAGTTTTACGAACAAGAAACTAACACGCCACGCTCGCACCAGATTTATAGTTTTTCGCCCAAAAAGTTTATTATAATGTAGGATATAAAATTTCATAATAAAGTTATGCATGTGTTGGAAGGATTCGACATAAAAATTTCTTGAAAGTACATATGCCCATACGCGTGAACATTATTCAGAATATATGGCACGCAATAAAAAATAATACATTCATAGAGTTTTGGATATTTGACGTCTTTGGCGTCAACAACAAAGCAATTGGATATGTTTATTTATTTGTCTTACAGCCACGTTTGCCAAAATAAAATGCAAGATTCTTCGTATAATTCTAACTGTATTTATGCAGTACTAGCTATCGCCTGCGACTTGGTTCGCCTGATAATTAAAATAAAATCTTTAATAGTAGCCCATGTGCTCTTCCGGACTATATTCTAAGTCAATGTCAAATTTCAGCTAGATCTATACAGCCGTTCTGGAGATACATTCAGAGAAACAACTGTCATCTATACATCGAAACATTCGCATTTTTAATATTAGTAAGATTACCAACTAAAGTATAAAAGAAGAAACAAAAAAAATATCAAATAATCTGACTTTACTAAAGAATATTTATCGAATGGGATAATCGTAACTAAAGATAAAATAATCATTTTTGTTTGTTGCAGTGTCAATGTGAAGATGAATATTGCGAGGAAGCGAAGCAGAGGATCGAAGTGTGCCGCTCTCAGGTGGTAAAGGGCGCGGCCAACGCGACCTCCTCCTGTCGTCTATCGCAAATGATCTGTCTCGCCGACGCCCAATGTTCCACTGCGCTGAGCTACTACCGTCAACTCTGTCGCTCTATGTATCGCGGTAGGAAATGCTCCAACCGATGCCTCAATTCAATCAAAATATTGAAAAAGCAGGAGAAAGCGGCAGCACTAACTGAATGCAGATGCGACGGAGATGAGGACTTCGATTGCCCCAGAATGCAGAGTAATCTCGCCAGATTATGCTTTCACAAACACCAAAAGAACCACACAAGTACACACAAGAAAGCACCGCACGAAACAAACACATCGACAGCTACTTCTTTACAATTTTCGACCTTCTTATTGTTCATTTGTTTTGTCTATTGTTTTAGTAACACGTGACCGATTCTAACTAGGTCTACCTCATTTTAGTTTATAAAGACAATCCATCAAAGTACAACGTATTTTGTTAAAACTGTACAGATCAGTATTGTAAGTTAATTTATGCGTAGTTATTATTTTTAAGCGAGGAACAACAAGGGCGTATAAATGGATTTTGAGTGTTTGAGTTGTGTGTTTTGAATCGAAAATATTCTGTTTTATTTAAGAAGTTTTGAGAGGTAATCAATCAAAAGTTTAACAACGAAATAAATTAGACTTTTTTACTATAATCACGTGATACACATAACTATTTGTAGAATTTGTAACTTGAAAACGTTTTATTAATCAACAGTTAAACCAAAATATTCTAAGTGTAGAGTTTACAAACACTATTGGCTCTATTACGTTTAACACCACACCAATATAAACATTGAAACTATCAAAGCGTTAGCCGAAATCAATTTCCAGTGATAATGGAGTAATCTGTCTATATGTCCATAATTACGTCGACTTTTAAAAAGTTTCACTGCGTTATGACCTCTCTAGTCTAAGTAATACGGTCTGTAATTGCGATAATGGAGGCAGAATGCCATGTGCGTGGTGACACGTGGGCGAAAATGTATATATGTCTAAATACGTGCGCGTTAATACAGATATCGAGATAGAGCGGTGCTGCAGCCGCCCACGGGCCCACGGGCGCGCTATAAATATGGCCGCGCCGGTGGTCCGGTGACAAATGTTGAATTGGATGCCTGACGTTACGGCGCCGAGCTTATTAATTCATCTAGTGTCCGCCGAAAATCTCAAAATTAGTTTCCACTGTCTAAACATATGTTTGAAACAACATGCCCATCCCTCTCTTGGTCTTTAAAACATAGTATAAGAACATGTAACCCAAGTGTTTTAGATGTGGTATTTCATCATTAAATCTGTGTTTGATTTGTCGACTCGTACGTATTGTTTGGGTTATTTATTTTGATACAAACTGAAGCCAATATTTTGGCAAAATTTAAATGCTAACTTATTATTCTACAATACGTATATTTATCGACAATGGCTGCATCAATCGTAAAACTGTTTTTAATTTTTAAATGAAAAATCGCTAACTTAACTTTGGTAACCTACTATTTTAAGTTGTTGTTGTCTTACATCAATCAATACACTCCTGAAGCGAGAAATGGAATACAAAATTAAAAACCCACTGACGGAAAATTTAAGTCGGTCTGTAGTTAAGGAAGTGTCTGTCCTGCGGCTAATTCCGGTAAGCGCGACACTAATCGTTGCTCAGATCTTGGACGCGGTTAGAGCGCGCGCGCGGGATTCCGCTGTCACTTTGACATTTCTTATCTTTTTTTATAACATCCTTTTTCGAAACGCTCTTCTTTTCCGGCCACTCATTAGCGTATTTGTAAACGGGCATATTTTTATCCAATTAAGAATATAAAAATAGGTTATATACGGAAGAATATTAAGCTATATTAATTTGTAAGGCGATATCGTTCATTATTCCCCTTTCCTTCTCGCCCCATACTAACGAATTGTCGTAATATTAGATTAATATATCTACCAATAATAAGTTCTACTTATATGGATCTGTTAAAAGCAACCTAAATCTAAGATATAAATTACAGCAATTATTATATCGCAGAATAAACGTTAATCTATCATGAAAAGTCGTTTTAAAAATGATCCAATTCAAGACGGAGTAACTCAAGTTTTCTTAGTATATCCCAGAGAGCCAGTAATGAAGAGCTAAAGAACCGGTTCTCTACAAAAGGGCTCGTACTCCAGCGTCGAGTAACTCTATCCACAAACAAAATGAAAACACAATCTAACTGTTTTCGAACTCGTAATTAATTTTCGTCAATATTGAATGACGGTTTGCTTTTCATCTTGTACAGCGTTTAGTAAACAAGTTTGAAGTACAAAACTGAAATGTTCGAGATCGTATCATATGTTTTCACTGACGGTGCAATTGTACAAAAATATAATTATCTCTCCTTTTTAAAGAGAATAAAAGGGATAGATGTGTTTTTCATAGTTAAAAATTCTCATATAAGATTCAATTGACCTGAGAATCAAGGCCTTATTTTTTAATATCTGAGAGCGATAGCGAAATTTAAATCTTACTAATATTATAAATGCGAATATTTGGATGGATGATTGTTTGAAGGATCAACGGATCTCGCTGAAATTTGCCGTATTTGTATAAAATAGTCTCGAAGAACACATTGGCTACTTATTACTTTTTTTTTAAATTCCGCACTGACGGAGTCCGACCGTTAATTCTGCTATAAATATAAAGATTTGTCTGATGAACGTATATCAAATTCCAGACATGGTCAAAACAAGAGAGAGTATCAACAATGTTGTCTACATTACAATCAGTTTCAATATAGAATGCATTCGGTATGCGTCTCGCAATTGTAAACTAATGCTTCGTCGCCCGAATCATGTCGCGATGCATAATGCAAACGCGATAACGCAGGGAATATGAATGAAGGTTCTTCTTTGCAATATATGTATTTTCTTGTACCATGTGACAGTTCATTTTCGCCGTAGCATGACAATTTTTTAGATTATTTTTCTTACCGT